ATGTGTTGCGTGCAATCTTCCGATCTGCTCAATCTACGAATCTGCCGACTGTGTGGCATCAGCATCATTGAACTCGCACCTAAAACCCACGATGGTAAACCTGCTTGCAAAACCGGGCCTGCGCAATCTCATCGAACTAGCAATTAACACAACCCCAGCTGATAAACCTGTCTGCAAAATCGGGATCCACTTACTGCTAATATCTATTGCAATAATAACACTATAGACAATGTAAAATCGGTTGATTGTGCACTTTTTGGAACCGAGATGGCCGACGGCACAGGATTGTAGGTAATATTGCTATTTTTAGTGCAAATCGCGGAACCCTCTATATGGGTACACACTGCACGAAGCTAATGTATCATGACCTGAAACAATTAGATTTACTAACAAATAGTACCTTTATCATCTTGTCGAATGCTCTGAGATCAAACCCTTCTGCACAAACGACTGGGGCTCGAATTTTCCAAAGGTGCTCAAAGCTAACTGCTATAGCTTTGATGCAAGCTCGTTCTGGGAGAATTTTGACACACGGAGCCAGGTGGTGTTGCAGTTCAGAAAGACCGTACCAGAAATGCAAATTGTCCCACGGCAATATGCTATTGTAGAAGAATGGCTCGCCTATAACAAGATTGACCTGAAAATAACAAAAATATGGGTAGCAGAATCCAGTGCTGGAAATTTTAATAGAAAAAGATCTCAGTTCGAGCAAAGGGAACGGTAGGGAAAATATTTCGTTGCACTCCTCTCCTATCCAACAAGGAAGTATATTTTGTATCGCAAAACATTACAAATAACCTGATCACGTCTGCACCATAAAAGAAAAGAAATAAATAAATAAAGTATAATATGAGAGCTTCTTTACCTTTACGTTACCTAAATCTTCTGCTGAGACATTTTCAGGACCTTTATCTAATATCTGAAGATTTGTAAGGCTGTTTGTGTTGATGTATTGTACTATCACCCGTCGCATCACTGTAGATTCGTTCAACGTAAACACCTACAAATCAAACAAACATATACTTGAACTTGCACACAAACATTCATTCTATATGTAATATAACTCTACGGGTTGTGATCTTTTCCATAAAGCTCATTAGGCATTAGCAATCATCAATTGCATATAATACTGAGATTGTATATAAAGGTCTATAAATGTCAAGATAATCATAACTTTTGTGTGTTTGCCATACTGTTGCTAGTGCAAGCTGGCATGCAGTTATTGAATAAGTAAATATGCGTGTAGTCCTATATAGTATCAGGAGCGTAAAATGACAAAGGAGTAAGACAGCGATTTGGTACTGATTTCACTACATTTTTGTCGTACGAGTTCGATGTGAATAAAAATACAAATGTATACAAACATGAGCTTCTTTTGTTCACTGGTCCTTATTCTATCTTCCGGTAAGTATTACAAGAACCAGCGTAAGCTATCCTTCGTTCTTGACATAACTTGCTACTTTCGACGACGATGGTTTTCACAGTTAGTATACCGTATCTCTCGAGGCCCACACTTAAGATTTGCGACACACAGCTCTTCAATGAGCCGACGGTTAGTCCGGCTTTTCGGCCGTAGCCTTAGTCGAGGTGCACGAACAACATTCGCCCAGAAATTAAGCTTACGTGTGCCACCGCATAGCTGGGTTTAAAAACTTAAATGGCGTGATTTCACATTTAAACTATAGTCATAGAGCCTTGTTTATGTTTAATCCCGCCAGTTTTTTTTAAAAAAACGCTATGCGCTTTGGTAAAATATGCTGAAGCGACTTCACGCCGCGCGGCAGGAAGGATTGGTGTATGAATCCTCTATTGCAGTAAAACTGACGCGGCCAGTCTCGACTCGATGGAGCTTTTCCACATGTGTTTTGCCATTTAATGTGCCATAGCAAACCGTCGTATTCTCTAGCCGGCTATTACGTCTGCCGCTGGCGCTGCCTGACCCGATCCTGCCGTCGCTGGCCTCATTTCGGCAAGAGCTTCGTGTTGCAAAATCTTAGACGTGATTTGGCCCTCGCCCAGAGATACCGGATAACTAAACGTTCGAAAACACATTGTCGTCGAAAAGTCTCACGAAGTATATGTCAAAACGAGAGACCGGAGCTACCGCTGGTTTAGTATACCTGACCCGGAAGCATAGAAATAAGGACCAAGTTGACAAAAGAGTTCATGTTTGATCCTACATTTGTATTTTTATTCACATACAACTCGTACGACAAAAATGTTAGTGAAATCCCAGTACCAAATTCGCTGTCTTACTCCTTTGTCATTATACGCTCCTGATAGTATGTGCATGTAGTGCTTAAACAATCTGAAAATTTCTGATTAGACATAAAAGATATGTTTAGCAATTAACCTATGTCAAGTTATTACCTTATCTGCCCTGTATCCATCCCCATATGACCAATGCATTTCCATAGGAATCATATAGTCAATGGAAAAAAACTTACTTAATAACTAGACAGAAATAACCTAATGTTGCTTACATCTTTTGCCTCCAAAGCTGCTGCAATAAGAGGCAGAAATGATCCATCGCTGAGGCACAAACACACTGTGTCTGAAGATATAACCTGTATTCAGCACAAAAACGATATGCATTACAGGTGATACGAGATATGAACCGTCACATTTGCAAACAATCTTATGAGGTACGACAAATGTACAGATGTGCAACCCTCCCAACTACTGGCAAAATTGCTTCCCACCGACTGCCCTGTCTTGGTGGCGTTGCTCTGTTTTGTAGCATCGTTTTGGTTAAATCGCATTTCTTTGTAAACACATTTGGTAAGTTAATTAATAATTTTCTAGGTTCTAAAATTTTTTTTTTAAATTTCTAAACAACAGCAAATCCCTCAATCTGACTGGGCACTGGTTCCGAGGGTGCTGGATATGGGAGGTTGTATCTATATAATACAGGGCCGTAGCCTGCGTGGGGGGGGGAGGGTGCAAGGGGGGCAGCTGCCCACCCCTAGATTTTGGAGCAAAAAAAAAAAAGTTCTACTAAAAGAGAATTGTCGTAGTCAGAATGAATGCTGTACATGTACTCAAAAGTGCCTCAAATACCATCTCCTGCGATCTACATTTTCCAAATTTTCTGGGGGAAACCCCCCCCCCAGGCATTTGCTCAGCCTACGGCCCTGTAATATAAACGTGTGTATATATTTATTTATTTATTTTTAAATATTGCTTAGGTAAGGTTATATGTACATAGGTGATCATGGACAGATGCAACATAGAGCCACACTATTCTGGCATCTGATGCTTTATCACACGTGCTCTGACCTTGCTAAGGGCAGAGGTCCAGCAAGACCTTCTGCGTTCATCGTTGAGCATCCCGATCCTCGTCCTGCTGCAAGCCACGTGTGCGCTACAGGTGCAGACCGGATGCTGGTCCCGCTCTTCACTCTCACAGCTGAAACAACACATGGTAACTCAATACTGCATGGCATGTTCATGTAGGTATTCATGCACACGCATACACGCACGCACGCACGCATGCATGCATACGCATGCATTCATGGACACACACACAGGGGAAAAAATATAATTTATTTTTCGGGGGCTACTTTTCAAGCTCGCGTGCATGAAAATAGCACTCTAAAATTTGGTTTGCATTAGAACTCTATGCAAATTTCTCCGGGGGCTCTTTTTGGCATTTCGGGGGCTAAATCGCCCCGAGCCCCCGTGTATTTTTTTCACTGCACACACAGATGCATGTATACCTACTATATTTCTTGCACCCCTATCACAGCACAATCAAAATATCTTCACTTCACGAGAATGATGCAAATAGCACAGTATTACATGTATATGAAAGAGCCCAACTCTAATGATGATTTCTCTTAGTGCAGCTAAATACAGTAACGGGAACAGAACGATGCCAAGCCTTCTTTAAACTCAGGTGATTACAATATGGCCCCAGTGTGAAATATCTGTGCCTATTCTTTTCCTGTTCTTGCCAGCACATCACGTAATTTAACCACGATTTCTGATCCGGTTGGTAGGCAACAATATTTAACAAGAAATTTAGGTCAATACCACTGTGAAGAGGGCTCGATTTTTTTGGGGGAAATCATGATATTACCTGGTTGACGAATCAGTGACAGAAAACCACAAGCTGTACTCGTCATGGTGTGCATGTACTGATATAGCCGAGTCCACCCTGACTGAAAGTTCCTTCGGAATGTAATAAACTGCTTGCATCCAGTGATCCCGCCACTGAAAAACAGTTTCGTATCGTTGTGATAGTAATGTTATTAGAACAATTGCACCCATTTTACTTTCGCTATAATATTTATGGATTCCGTACACTTTCGATAGAATACTGTATAAGCTGTATATTTCGCGGGGTTTAATTTTCACGAATTTCGAGAACGCATCCCCTACGCGAAAATAACAACACGCGAATAATTCATACCGAATAATTTATAATTCACCGACCACGAAATTAACCACTCGCGAAATTGTCAGTCAAGTCTGAATTCGTGAAAATATCTGTACGCGAAATATACAGCTTATACAGTAGTTTTAATGGATTGTAACTCATCACCGGACTCTGCAATATTCAGCAGTCACTATAGCGCTGCCCAATACAAAAGTGGATTGATGGCAAACCCCTGCAGTATCTTGCCACAAAAATCAAACAGAGAACATCTCCGATGGATTGGCACAAGTTCAGAAACGAACACATACCGATAGAACAAGAAGAATATTCATACTCCATTTTACCACACATATGTTCGTGATGTTATTATACCGGCATGACGTCTGGATCGGGATGTGCCCATCTGGGAGCACAGCTCAGCACCACATCTCCATCCAAGTCCATCTGTAAGTCCCACCACATGAATACTGCATCACACGATCCTTCCGTCTTTGCCTTTGTATCAACAACTGAATGATTATTGAACAGAATCGGTGTGTTTCCACTGTAGTCAAACCTATGACAATAGCAAAGTTGGGGAGTTATGCAGGTGCAAATATTTCATCACAAACAGAGTGTTATGTAGACCAGATTTGGGTCGGACTGTTGGACTCATTCACAATCCAAACAGAGCTTAAAATCCACAATTTGAAAGCAGACGCTTACTTTATTTATGCAATTGAACTGTATATTTTTTATGATTTTTATTTAATCAAAACTGTATCTTATTCAGTAATTTAAAAAAAACAAGTGTCTAAAATTAACAAATGCATTATTTTTTCCACAGTATGAATTGTCAGATACTAGTAAAAAATTGTCCAGCCTAAACCCCAGTATAAACCAGTATAAACCTTGTACCCTAATAAACCAAGATTTCTTACATCTATATGTAAACCCTACATACAAGGGTCCCTCAAGAGAAATGTAGAAAGTTCTTTATAGATGAGATCTCCATTCTATATAGAGGTGGTTTAACTACCCCTAGCAGGGTTCTCTAAGCTTTTTCATTATAGCATGGGGGTGCTGCCTTTACGGTCCTAGTTGCAAATCGCCGAATGGGGGGTCCGGGGGCTATGATATTTAGCATGGCGGCTATGATATTTAGAGTGGCGGCACTGGCGGGTGCATTTTAGGATGGCGGGGCTCGACGATAGCCTGGCGGGCCGCCAGGCTATAAGTGCTCTTGGAGAACCCTGCCTAGGGAAACACCAATTGTCCTTTTTAGACACATGCCCCTTCTATAGAGGTATCAGATAACATAGATAGGTTTTGCTGTACCTGAAAACAAGTAGAGGGTCTGTAATTGGCTCAAACTGGTCAGGTGACAACTGGTCTAGCTGTAGATCATGGACAGCTGCTGCTCCTGTGCACTGTGCAACTTTGTGTGGGGTGGCTATCTCAACATCCTTGCCAACACGGATTGGCTCCAGCTTATTCCACATCCGTACCAGCCTCGAGTCCACGACTTGACAGTACATGTTTGCAGCACTGGGAACAACAATGCAGTCCTTCTGCAATTGATATAGATATTTAGATGAGATATATCAACTATAGCACTAATTGTCAAGAGTACCTGTATAAGATGGTAAAACATCATGTTTTCTTTGCCCAAATTCTTACCTCAGTGCTTTGATATCGAGAATATTAGTATATATTTTAACCATAGTAACTATATGATGTTACTGTGCCCCTACCTCTCGATTGATAATTTCATTTGAATTTTCACTTACATATAGAATTACTGTTACTGTTTTTACATGACTCTGTTATTCTGTTTTTATTTACTGCAAAAATCTAATTACCTCGAGCAAGTGCTTGTGGGCATGATGAAACGTTCCTATTGCACCTTCACCTATCAGCTCTGTATCAAACACTTCTGTGACAAGAATGTTTGCGTGCCTCTCCATGTCACAACCTATAGACAGAATGGATAAATATAACTTTCAGTTTTGAAATGCTTAGCCTTGGAGCAACTAGGCACCTATGAAAACAGCTACTTATATTAAAATTAAGAAAGATGCTAGGTGACACAGGACGACAAATACACCTGATATGACGAAGACAGTTTTAACATTTATTTACTATTCCTGCATGTATATACATGCACTTATCTAATTAGTATAAAAAATATATCTAAAAATTAAATGATCTAGTTGATCATTTACCTATGCCAACATTGACATCTGTTGATCGTTTGGATATTAATTTAATTTTGTTTAACACTCCATTTGCAGCCATGACTTCTTTTGCACACGTGGCTACTGGAGCAAAAGCCTGCAAAAATAAAGCATAAAAGACTATACACACCTATTCAAGTGTCCTAATAAGAAAAACGTGCAGCTGCAAAGATTTAACATGAACCTGATCACTGCTATATGATTCTCATAACCTCAATCTCGTCACATTTAGCACAAATTTGCTATGATAAATCTATTAAGATTTTTATAACTGTTAACTATCTACAATTTTACATGCAAACATTAGGCCTACATTCTACTAGACTTTGCTTTCCACTGCATGTATTTAATTTACTGCACATTGTGCACTCAAAATGTTTAGTATTTTTATTTATGTATATACTTATACATTTAACCAAGTGCATATCTATAATTCTACTTGAAATACCTCGCAAGCCGTAACTGAGTCAGCTCCACATCTGACAGCCATCATAGATAAAAGACCAGTGCCTGTGCCGATGTCTAATACATGAGCTGGCTTTCCTCTACTGTGCATTCGTGCTATTGCCTTCCTCAGTGCCACATAATATTTTTGGTTCTGAAGTCACAAATTTGAATGATTTTTTATAACTATATTGTCAAAATAACTAATATAATAGTACAGTGCTTCTTTATACAATCAAATTATTTGTGTGGCTAATCCAAATATAAGCAATTGACATTGAATACGTTGTCTACTTTGAATAATACAGATTTGTAGCTGATCAAAAGTACATGACAGATTACTTTGCTCCTATCTGATCATTTAAGTAATAGATGTAGCTAATTCTTCTTCCCTGTTTTCAACACAGATCTGTAATATTTGCAATCTAAAGCCTATTAAATTCTTGATTTAATGAAAAGGCTAATCTGTATTAATTTACCCTTTCTTTATCGTGCAGCATGTCAGCATACGCAGACCTGGAAATATAGAATATAAAAAGTAAAATGCAATGACGAAATAAGGAAATTAAGGAGTTTGCGATTATTAACATGTATACGCATAGAAGTTACAACCAACACCCCGAGTTCTCAGTATATTAAAGGAATAGAAATCTGGGTCTGACACATGCTATGCACTATCAACTTGGGCCAGGACCCCACCCACTGGCAGTTGACATGGCCTGCACACAGTGTATATGTTACTATACATAAACGTACCGATTGATTTATAAGATGCTGATAATGCGAGATGTGTTGATAGTTATTTGAACATTATGTATGATCAGAAACAGTCAAGACATCTCTGAAATTTGTTGACACAGTTTTGTGGCAGTCATAATGGCTTTGCCTATGGAGTGTAAGTGGATAGTGTGGATAGTATATATTTGGCCCTATACAAATAGCAATGACATATAAGTTTTCTCAGTACAGTACAATACAGTACACTGTACAGTATATATACACTAATATACAGTCTAGGCGATGGCTAGCAATTCGGTTGCCAAAATATCCCGCATTTTGCTAGCGATCTTGCATGTACTACTACTAGTTGTACACAGTACAATGATGCTGTCGATTTTGTCACTTATTAACAGTAACACTAACGTTAACATTTGTTCAGTCCTAGTTTGGGACCCCAGGCTCAGCACAATTTTTTTGGCAAATGTGCTAAACTAAGCTGGATGCTAAACTACGATTGGGTCGTAACATTTTAAATTTACATGTGACATTGCACTAGGTGATGCTGTTAGTATTACTGGCAATGTGACAAATAGACTACAGTCCCAAGAAAAATCGTTATTATGCTTGCACTACAAACTTTGAAGTTAGTTAGAAATAGAATGCACAATTTGGTGAAAATTTTCACTAACAATAACACCAGTGCACTGTCACTGTAGTGTAACGTTGGAATGAGCGTTGATGTCGAAATGATGAAGATATAAAGTCAAACTTGTTGTAGTAACCGGAATAAACTTTGTTAGCTTGTACACTGTAGCCACATCGCACAAAGAGACAAAGAACGCGCACACGCGCATACGCGCGTGTGCTCAGCTCGCTGCCCAGCACCCGAATCTCCCATCTATCACATCTCTCCCTATATATTCGCCCAAAACTCCCTACATCTTGTGGGCACATGTCACCCGTCTTGTCCAGTTCCAACCGTTCCCCTCATTTCACAATCACCCTAGAAACTGCCTAACCTAGAACCCGCTTACCCAACTCCCCGTAACATCAATGCTGCCGCCCAATATCCGCGACGTTCTGTCTAGCTAGACTATATGGCTAAAACAACTACCAGCCTATCTCCACTCGACTAATTCATGTAACGCGTATAAAATAGACGTTTACAGTAGAGCTCTGTGCTGATGTGCACTGACAATGGCACTGTCACCTGTGCCAGTAACACGTACCCACTGACGATCAGTTCTGCATAACGATAACATATAACTCTAAGCCATAACTAAGCCTTGCCCTTGGCCTTAGGTCAGGTGACAGGTCTAAACTGAAAGAGCCTAGGCCACAGGCACTTGGAATGTCTCAATAAAAAAAAGGTAAATATACACGAATGTATTTACTACCAAAGTCTTAATGTTTCTCTACTCTATGTCGCCTATTATTGCCAATAATTACCCATAAATGCCGGTCAAATGTTGCACACGCACGCACACACGTGTACATTCACGCGCGCACGTGTACGTGTACGTGCACACACGCACGCATGTACGCACGTGTAAGTGCACACGCACGCACGCACGTGTACGTGCACGCACGCACGTGTACATTCACGCGCGCACGTGTACGTTTACATGCGCACGTGTACGTGTACGTGCACACACGCACGCATGTACGCACGTGTAAGTGCACACGCACGC